AGGAGGCTCACGCCAGCGAGTCTCTTCAAGGCATGGGGGTTCTGTTTGGGAAATTTGGTCCAATTCTATCATGGGTGGAGTTCAGAATGCTCTTTGATTGTAGGTGAACTATACATCCCAGCAACTACAACTCCCAAATGTCAAGGTCTATTTTCCCCAAGCTCCACCAGAGTTCACATTTGGGCATACTGAGTTTTTGTGCCACGTTTGGCCCAGGTCCATCATTGTTTGAGTCCACAGTGCTCTCTGGATGTAGGTGAACTACAACTCCCAAACTGAAGGTCAATGCCTACCAAACCCTTCCAGTATTTTCTGTTGGTCATGGGAGTTCTGTGTGGCAATATTGGTTGAATGCCAATGTTGGTGGAGTTCAAAATGCTCTTTGATTGTAGGTTAACTATAAATCCCAGCAACTACAACTCCTAAATGGCAAAATCAATCCCCCCCCCCCCACGAGTATTCAAATTTGGATGTATTGGGTATTTGTGCCAAATTAGGTCCAGTGAATGAAAATACACCAGATATGTAGATTACAATTCATACTGTTGCAAAATTACAGTTATGAAGTAGCAACAAAAATAATTTTATGATTGGGGGTCACCAGAACATGAGGAACTGTATTAAGGAGTCACAGCTTTGGAAAGGTTGAGAATCATTGTCTTAGAGAAAGATGGGATGGGAAATATAGCTTTTCTACCAAATTTATTGAAACTCCAGGTTTTGAGAACTGGTGCCTGAAGATACTTTTTCTAATTCTTTTCTCCTCATATCCTTTTGATTTTGTTTTCATGTTTCTGAGACTATAATCTGAAAAGCGGAAATCTCTTATTGGTTGTATATAAACTATTTCTGGAGATGTTTTGGTTGAAGAGCAGCAATAAATCACTAAAAAAAGTTGTGTCAAGAGCAACTTCAGAAGTCGCTTTTGGTGTGAGAGAATTGGCTCTCTGCAAGGATGTTGACCAGAGGATTCTCAATTGTTTTACCATCCTGTGGGAGGCTTCTCTCATGTTCCCACATGAGAAGCTGGAGCTAACAGACAGGAGCTCACCCCATTTCCCAGATGCAAACCACCAACGTTTTGGTCAGCAGACCTGCCATCACAAGGCTTTAACCCATTGCGCCACCGGGGGCTCCATAATCACTAAATAATATATTTTATTTTTAAATCACTAAATAAAATGTTAAAAATTGTATGAAAATGTCTAGTTGTTCACTTTCTACAGTATTTTAGTTTTACAGATTACTGCTCATAATTTTAACACAACAAAGCTGAGTTTCTTTTCTCTTGAAGATCCCTATCAATTATGAGTAGGAAATTAAAATGCTACATGGTGCAAGGGATGACATGACATGAATCTAAGTAGCTTTCAGTTCACTTTCAATATACCATCAAATGGGATTTTCAGTGTTTATATCTTCAAGAACAGCATAATTGTTATTTGATACTTGATGACAGCGGTGGAAAATGTAGCCACCGAATGAAGACTACATTTCTAACTAGTTCCTTCTGGCTGCTACTCCTTTGAGAGTGAAAAGCTGCTCCTGTGCCTCTCAGATTTCATCTCCGGATGGTATAAAAACAATAAAATTAACATGATCTGTCATGCAACTGTGGGAGACATAAAATTGCTTGGAACCCATTTATTTCATTTTAATTTGTTTACCGGCAAATACATGTTTTAAACATTCCTGGTTGCAGCTATTTTGGATATAATTGAAATACTCAAATTAGGTGTTTTATCATGGCTATGTATTTCTATATACTATGTGTATATAGAAATACATAGCCATGTAGATACATAGCCAAGAAGAGATGGTTCTCTAAGCTATGAAATAGTGCAATGATGAACTGAATGGCTTTGGATTGTGTTTTTGGACTACGTGATTTTAATTATTGGTTTGAATGTTTGATGTTTTTAACTTTTTGGTTTTTAATGTATTTTTATTTTATTTGTATGTATTTGTGAGGCATTGAATTGCCTCACAAATACATACAAATAAAATAAAAATACATTAAAAACCAAAAAGTTAAAAACATCAAACATTCAAACAAGTTGCCTATTTGTAAGGCTGCTCTGAGCTCCCTTCGGGATGAGAAAGGTGGGGTATAAATGTGGTAAATAAATAAATAAATACGCTTAGGTGTATAAGGCAGTGCTGTTTGACTTTTTACATTTTAGTGTTTCAAAGATCACATGCTGCAAATAAAACTGACTTGCACAACTTTACAAACTATAAAGATTCAGAATTGGCTACCTCTTACCTCCATAATCACCTCAAGAAATAGCTTCCTAAGATCTATAGAGATACTCGCAGGAACACCTCAGCAAGCAAGAGTCCAAAAGTGGCAGGCTAAAACCCAAAACCTCAATTAGTGGCTGATACCAGATGGGAGACTCCCACCTGGGCACACAAAAGACTGAGCAACCACGGGATGCACAGTCAATCTTAAGAAATGGGGCCACAAAGTGGAGTCCACGACATGCAAGTGTGGAGAAGAGCAAACCACAGACCACCTACCACAATGTAGCCTGAGCCCTGCCACATGCACAATGGAGGACCCTCCCACAGTGACACCAGAGGCACTCCAAGTGGTCAGCTTCTGGTCAAAGGAAATTTAGCATAATGCCAAGTTTTTAACTTTGTTTGTCGTTATTCATTATAACTGCATTCTCAATTTGCTTCTGACACAATAAATAAAAATAAAAATAATTTCGGGTGAGAAAGTAGCTAAACTAACTTGGCTTCTTCAGCAAGTAATTGGCCTATTTCCAATGTTGAGTTTGTAGGCAATCTTATTGAACAAAAAAAATAATCACTTGATGCCTTTGAATAAAATGAGTTAGCTGATCCAGTCTAGACTGACCTTTTTGACCCAATGTTGGTACTGAAAATTGCACTTGGGTGATGACTGCTCTTGGATGTAATACTCAATTCACATAATGATTTTGTTGGGATTAATAATGTAAGATGTGTGTGTAATGACTTCTACAGTATTGCAGAAATGCATGACTTTATGTCATTAAAAAATCTTCCCTATTTCTACTTTAAAACATGGTGGTAAGGAAACACTATGCTAGCCAGTGGATGTAGCTGCGCTAACTCAAGATATGAATTATGATTCATTTTTTAACTAAATAATTTCTATTGTCATACGGAGTTTATTCATTCCATATTAAATGCTTGCAGATTCATTACTAAGACACAACTTCTCTATTTTTGCATGCCATAGCTAAGTTTGAAGAGAAGTTAAGAAACTTGAGGAAAGGGAGAACTGTAATGGCACTATTTCCATAAGCAATTAGAAGAATATGATGAAGTCGACTCAAATGGATTGGACATTATGTGTATTAAACAATTCCCATATTATGCATAAACGGTGATCCTTCTTAACTTTTAACCTCAGTGCCAAGTTTATTAGCTTCAGGCAATCTTCTACTTAGTTATTTCTGCCATATGTCTCCCCCGCAATCCTGCCCACCCCCACTGTTCTTAGATCCAAGCTAATGTCATTTGGTAGGATATGCTATCAAAACCAGCTGAGTCTCCAGTAGATTCAGTAAGGAAATACATATGCAACAGCCCAATGCTTGATATCCATATGGGTCTACTTACAAAAGCGAAAGTCAGGCAATGCAAAGTAAATGACACCTGATGCTTCCTGCCACAGCTTTGCTCTTTAAAAACATAGTCTTCTGGCCCAAATGTAAGTGGTCAGCAGGAAATGTAAATAACCATACTACTACATTAGTCATATGAAAGACCCCAGCTGTGAATTTTGATACCTTCTAGATCTGAAATGGTATTACATCTGGACTTTATTTTCAATAGTTCTCCTACAGAGCCACTCTTCCTTTTCAAACAAGGAAAATAGAAGACTGAGGCCAATTCTCACATTACAGCTGCCATGGCAAAGCTGGTGGAAAGAGTGGTTGCAAATGTGCGAAAACTGCACAACATATGGATTATCCGCATTGAGCCTGGAATTTCTATTCATTATCAGGCACCTCAAAAATGTATGGTGCAGCGGAATGGAGCCACCATCATGAAAAAGTACTTCCAGCAGCTTCTACTTGGCAATCACAATGGGAAATGCTATTCTTAGTCCATGTCCATTTCTCTCTCTATCTTTGCAAATCAAAGTTGTTGTGGCCTTGACTTTGTGAAAAAGATTTTTGTAATATTTGCAAAAGTGCAGAAGTACAGTCTTTGTCTAAAAAGCAGGTGGCAAAAACAATTTTGGCAACAGCCTTATTGGAAGCAGAGTACATACAGAGTTCTGTCATATTTTTCTGTGTTAGTAAGGAAGATGTTTAGCAATGCAGCACCAGGCATGACATTGTTAGACTTTCAAGATGCCTCTAAGCATCCAATTCAAAGATCCCAGAGACATGAGTAATGTCAAATGCATAATTCTTCAGTGGTTTAGAAACTGAAGCAGTGGTTCAGAGGCAGGGGACGGTGAACCACTGTTTCAGATCTTATCTCAACCATTGATTTAATGACTGAACTTAGTAAAGTCACTATTTGAGACAACCCATTCTCAGGAACAATGATACGGATGCATTTTGCAAGGCTGGTGAGACTTAGATAATGCATTTGGGAAGTAGAAAATGCTCTACTCATATGTTAGATATTATGTATGTTAGACATTACATACACATATAGTGTTGCAGTTATTTTTTTCTACATACTACAATGAGGTAGAACAGAAGGTGAAGAATAAATTCAAAGAGTCAAGATTATTACTACCATGGGGATTTATGAAGTATTGAGTGTAGTAGGTATTGCACAATTCAAAAAGGAAACACTGATGTAGGTAGGAACTTTAATAAAGTTGTTACTTAGCAAGAGAGAACAATACAAGTCACTTAACTGGCTCAAGAATGAGAAGTCAACTAACTTAGCAGTCCAGAGACAGTGCAATGAATTGTACAGTTTTTTTTCTGGCTACAGGGTGAAAAGAAGATGCTAAAATTGGAAAAAGGGGAACTCACCTCCGCCGCAAGATTCAGAGCACTCTGTGAAGCCTTCGTACTCCCAGTCATAGAGTTCGTCGAAATCTTGAGAACCACCATAGAACAGATCTGTTTCTTCTGGACTATATTCACCAGTATCTCCATTGCAAGGCCCACCATAACATGCTCGTTCAGAGGCTGGCTTAGGCCCTTCACATTCATCAGTGGGCAAATCTGCCACAGATTGGGAGAAAGACAGCAGCACCTGGCACTTCACCAAACGCACTTGGACACCCACACCACAGGTCACACTGCAGGCAGACCAAGATTCAGGAATAAACCTATGGAAATGAAGACACAAAGGAAAGAAAGGGGAGAAGGAGAATAAGTGGAGGAGAGAAAGCAAAAATAAGAACCATCTGTTCAAGATGCAGGGGACACATTGACTGGGTATAGGAATAGTTGAGGAGCTTTCAAGATAGCTAGAGTAATGAAATGCAGAGTTGGAAGAGACCACAAGGGATATCCAGAACAATCTCTTGCCATGTATGAACACACTTGGAATTTGAAACTCATGGAGTTCCAGCTAGAACAACATATACAATCAATTATTCAGGGTGACTCAACTGATTCAATTAGGCTACTCTAATCAGGATTAACAACTGGTTTTAGGACATACTCCAAAGTAGTGTTTCCCAAACTCTGGTCTTCCAGGTGTTTTGGACTTAAGCTCCCAGAAACCCTGCCAAAGTAGTTGAGCCTTCTGGAAGTTGAAGTCCAAAACATCTGGAGAACTAGAGTTTGCAAATTACTCCTGTAAAAGATACTCTGATTGCTAGAGAAGCCTGGACTTGACACATTTATCATGCTTGAAATGTACCAAAGCAGTGAGGGTTAAGGGCATCCACGTATAAAAAGAAGTGGAGGAAAGAAAGAAGGAGATTCTTGTTACATATCTAAAACTTTTCATCCTCCCTGTCTTTTTACATTGATTCAGACTAACCTGGCTATTAGACAACTGTCACATCAAAATATATCACTGTAGATCTTATTGTTCTTTTGTGCAAAACAGGATAATTCGCAGCTGTCTATGTGAACTGCTTCCAGTGAAAAATATTGTCTGAGTAGATGTTAGAGGAACTGAAATCCTTTTGTGCTACAATTTCATTGTGACATGCAAATAATCAATTGGCATTGTAGTAATCAGTTCAGTGTACGTGTGAGAAACAGAGAGAGAGAGTGGGGGGGGGGTACATGCTGCTTTCACCTACATGCTGCTTTCAATGTTTGGTTTTTTGGTTGGACAAACTCCTAGGAGTAGATTTTTAGGGCAGCATGGGGGCTAAAAAGTAGCATTCAAAGTGGGGACATTCATTAGCATGAGATAGTATTTAGACTTATTCCTTGCTATGTTTCTCAAATATAAAAGATTTCAGTGTAAGACAGGGCTTCTCTATATGGGCCCCAAACCCGCATGCTCACTACAAATGGAACAGTGGCAGTCTTCACAATGTACAGTGGCTTCCAGTTTTATTTGTGTGCTATACACTGACTTTGCCACACTTTAGGTAAGACCAGGACATACCCCACAGTTTGCTTCAAGTTCCAGAGTATTCTGGAATTCAGGACAATTTGGGTCCAATGTGGCCTGATCCCCTGTCCAGACAGACATTTCTGCCACCACCATTTCCCTGCTTTGATCATGGATCGTGCCTTTGATCAAGCCCTTCTATAGAATCATAGAGTTGGAAGAGACCTCATGGCCCATCCAGTCCAACCCCCTGCCAAGAAGCAGGAAAATTGCATTCAAAGCACCCTCGACACATGGCCATCCAGCCTCTGTTTAAAAGCCCCCAAAGAAGGAGCCTCCACCACACTCCAGGCCAGAGAATTCCACTGCTGAACAGCTCTCACAGTCAGGAAGTTCTTCCTCATGTTCAGGTGGAGTCTCCTTTCCTGTAGTTTGAAGCCATTGTTCCACTTCCTAGTCTCCAGAGCAGGAGAAAACAATCTTGCTCCCTCCTCCCTATGACTTCCCCTATACATGTATATATTTATACATGGCCCTCATGTCTCCTCTCAGCCTTCTCTTCTGTAAGCTAAACATGTCCATCAATTTAAGCCACTCCTCATAGGGCTTGTTCTTCAGACCACTAATAATTTTAGTCGCCCTCCTCTGGACACATTCCAGCTTGTCAACATCTCCCTTCAATTGCAGTGCTCAGAACTGAACACAGTCTTGCTGGTCAAATGCTCCTCACCCCATTTTGACATCAGCAGAAGTGACTGTGGCAGCATGCACTCAGATGCTGTTCCATAGCTGGGTAGGATTTATATTTGGCCAACTTGCTCAATGTAGATGACCCCAAAGACAACTTCTGTCTTCACTGAAAGAAAAAGGGGTTTGTGGGTTGAATAATCTGTTTCCACAGCTTCAAATTCTGTTCTTTATAGATTCCCTTCCTTCGTGCTATCTCAGGCAAATAGTAATTGCCTGGTCAAAATGTCTTTACTATTCAAAAGCAGGCCAAAGAGCACACGATACATCCTGTTAAACAAAACTATGCACACAATAAGTTTGCTCAAAGTGAAAACAAAAAGAAAAAATACATAGTTTTAAAAGAAACTTCACTGGTATAAAGTGTGCTGCATAAAGTGTAATTTACTCATTATCAGTCATGCCACTATGCACGGTCATTCATAACTGAAATGCAGGAAATAACACCAGGAAGTTATATGGAATTTTTTTCTTCCTAAACAGATACTTTGCATGTTGAGTTATGAGTCTGGAAGGGTAGGTTTATGCTATGTAATAACTTGCCTCAAAGGGAAGAAGGGAACCTGTGGTGCTGAGAGCAATAAAACATGCCAAGCTGCCATTAGAAACTCAACATTTACTAATAACAAGCATATTTTAAAGTTCAGTAACTGTGCTGCTTTGCTCAGATTCAGAGGAACATAAGTGTTCCCTCCTTGCTTAAAAATGAATGTTTCTTTTCCTGCCTGCAAGTTAGTTGACAAATCCTAATTTCCAATTATTACCCATTACACCTTTCTTTTCAGAAATCACAGCAAACATCTTGCATTTTTACCATGCATACATTGTGAGGAACGTCATATATTCATAGTTCTGAATAAATGGAACTATAATTTCCATTGCTGACAGAATTAAATAAATATTTGGATTTAGATAACCCATAGGTTTGGATTCCTACAATTACTGTAATTCGGGTTCTTTGAAAGTGTACATTATATATCCAGCAATGGTGAATTTGATGGTCAGCCAAGGGACAGTTTGGGTAGAATTTGTTTGGGGGTTCAATTCTACCACTGGCAGTGAGGACATGCCAGATCCTATGAGCAAATGGGCTGTAATTACTTTCTGCTGTGTAATTTGCCATCAATAACGCTAATGTTATAGCAGTAATTTGAACCATTACTTAGTATTAATAACCCTTAGAAAGTCTTGGAATTATACTCAGCTTTGGACTGAGATATTATGGATTTTTGGCAATGAAAGAATTATAATGAGCAAATTCTTCAAAGAATATTTTAAAAAGATCCTCCATTTAAAACAATGTATTTTTTATTTCTCTGCCATCAGATCAAAATGTTACATTATCTTTCCCTTTAATGTCAAGTTTGTTCAGCTATTTTATAAACTATTTTCTATTCAGACAGTAAAGTCCGAGTTCTTTCAACCTATAAAACAAATTAACATATTTCAAATTCAGCATTTGTGGTTGAGAATATGGTTCCTCTGATAAAGATCATCTTATTTATGTATGTTTTTAAAAACATGATGTACTCTGCTATTTTTAACAGCTATTAGCTGTGAGAATATCCATACTTTGTTTTGGCATTGAAAAATCACATCCAGTTATCTTCAAAATTCTCTGGAGCAAAGTACAGCAGTACATATTGAGAAAGTACTGGCAATGAAATGGGCCAGCCAAAAGAAAAAGCGTATAACTTGATCCAATGTCCCAACCGTGAGAAGTTCTTCCAATTGTTTTAATGAGCAGTAGACTACAGCCATACAAAACATTTCTATGAAAACATCTTCTCCAATCTGTTGCCATACAGATGTTGTAGGCTACAATTTCCATAATTAAAAAAAAACACAAGGAAGAGACAGCACTTGCATACATGGCCTCATATCCACCATACATACATGTGTCTAAGGCTGTATCCACACTGCAAAATTATAGCAGTGTGTCTGTTATATCAGGCTGTGTTTTTTATTTAATTTAAGTTGTTAAGTTATAACTCATGTTTATATGTTGGGTTGTTTAAATTTTGTTAGTATAGATGTATTGTTGTTGTATTTGGGCATTGAATGTTTGCCTTTTATGTTTGGAATCCGCCCGAGTCCCTTCGGGGAGATAGAGCGGAATATAAATAAAGTATTATTATTATTATTTGAAACACAAGATGAGTCCACAGCAAACAAGATCACTCTGCTGGCTGTTGTATTGGATCACATGTCGGACATTTCCCAAGTGTCTAGGAATGTGTGATGTATCGGCGAATAATGCGTGCAGATCCCAGTAAGGTGGCCATTTGCAGCTGGCAGATTGTAATTTTGTCAGCGTCGATTGTGTTTAAGTGCAGGCCAAGGTATTTAGGCACTGCATCCAGTGTGCCGATCACAATTGGGACCACCTTGACTGGCTTGTGCCAGAGTCTTTGCAGTTCGATCTTTAAATCCTCATATCATGTCAGCTTTTCCAGTTGTTTCTCTTCAATCCTGCTGTCACCTGGGATTGCAACATCAATTATCCATACTTTGTTTTTTAACACAATCGTGAGGTCAGGAGTATTGTGCTCCAAAACTCTGTTAGTCTGAATTCGGAAGTCCCAGAGTAGGGCTACTAGAATCAGGCCTTCCGTCTCCTTTTTCAAAGTTCCATGTGTGAGCCACAGCCATGTTTTTTCTTTGTCGGTTTGTCTCTTAATTTTTCCCAGGAACTGTCCATGAAGAGCCTTCTTTCACCAGTTTTCTCTTCTGCTCTGGATTGTGTTTTTACAGTATTCACTCTTTGTCTTTTGCACTTTAAGCAGGTTACTACTACTGACTTCCCTCAATGTTGGTTCTTGACTGCCTTTTGCATAATCTGCCAGTGCGTGTTTCTCTTCTTCTACTATTTGTTTCACTTGCAGAAGCCCTCTGCCTCCTGATTTTCTGGGCAGGTCAAGCCTGTCGACATCACTATGTGGGTGTAATGAGTAGTAGATTGTCATCAGTTTTCTCGTTTCTCTGTCCAGATCATCCAGCTCTGCTTGTGTCAAGTTTACAATCCCAGCAGTGTATCTAATGACGAGGATGGCCCAGGTGTTG